GCTAGGTTGTGATACTGGGATTTTATTTAGGCTAGCTATATTAGTCCTCGTGGAAGAAGTGCTTAAAGAGACTAGAAATATCTCTGACAAGCCAAATCTAACTTTCCAAAATTTGGAGGTAGTAGTTCTAATGATTTCTTTAATGAATTAAGATAATTTAATGCTTTCAAATCTAATAAATCAAATGATTTCCAAGCAACTTTGAAGCAAATTTTCAAAATGTACATCATGAGACTCAAATTGTTCAGAATCTCATAGGAAATAAACTTTAATTCCAAATCAAGCTTACATTTCTATGAGAAGTAATCAATTTGAGCTGATTTTAATATCGAAAAACTGAACTTTTTGATCAGGGCTCACAGAAGTGCCTAAGAAGGCTTGAATAGGATTGCCTGAGAACGATTAAGCTCTTAGGAGACATTGTTTTAAAAAGTCAGTATAAAATCATTGTTTCTATTTCATAGGGGCCACTTCCATTTCAGGTCAGACACACAGTACACAAATATCTTAAAATTGAGCAAACGTACTCTATTCTTTAAATTACATGCATTGATGTTTCTGAATTTGAATTGAATTGAATTGAATGTTTTAAGTCCCTTGAAGCTGGATGTGGTGGCTCATACCAGTAATCCCAGCTCCTCAGGAGATCTACGGTTGGAGGATGCAGGTCTGAGGCCTACCTAGGGCAAAATTCAAGACCTCTGACAAAAATAACTAAAACAAACAAAGACTAGGGATGTGGCTCAAGTGGTACTAAGCATGAGACCGTGAGGTCAAACCCCAGTGCTGAAAAACCAACAACAACAAAACCAAACCCAAGGCTTTTTCATGATTTTTTTAAACTAATCCCTAGGGCTACATATCCCAGATTTATATTAGACTATCTTAAGTCTTTGGTTTCTACAAGCATGGGGAGAGGATATTTAATACTTTCATTTACTTATTTTTTCACACACCATGGGAGAAATGTAAGCTATTATCTATCTGGGTTCTGATGCCTGGACATAAATTTTTTTGGGCAGGGGACATTTCATGACTACTGCGCAGTTAGAAACACAGGGTCCAAATTAAGGAAATGAGTTTTCTGCACAGCTCTGATCTGCCGGCAGAGCCTGTATGTTGGCTGTAAATGTTTTAATGTCGTTTATGGGCTCATGCTTCTCAATGTAATACATCACATCATTAATTTTGTGGTTTCATCTCTGAAAGCTATAAATGGAACATTCCCATTGTCTTAATTTTCTGTAACCTTTAATAACATTTGTGAAAGAACATAGGAGGGATGAAATGGCTATTGGCTCTACAACAAATATATTCTGGGAATATTTTATAGAAACTGCTCTCTCTCTCTCACCCCCAGAATAATCACTTGGAGAAGCAGCATGCTTTAGACATCTAAAATTCATTGTTTCAATGCAGAGAATAAGCTCAAACGGAGAGAACAGTTGGGTTGGTCAGAATGCACTCTGAGCCTGGTTTCTTCATCTGTCTCAGGAAGGCCTATCTTTCGAAAAAATAAAACCACAGAAAAAATGTGGCATTTACCCAAACACTTGTTACACATTTGCACTTAAACACTCTGCCAGGAAAGAGACTTGAAAAACATTTATCCTTGAATGAGTCCTTATTTGAGAGCTCACCTGGCATTTGGCCATTAGAGGCAGACGGAGCCTTCTAAGCTAAGGGATTGATGGACAGCTGGTGAGACCAGGAGGCTGAGCCTCCTTCCCTGGGCACAGAAGGCCCACAGTGATGACGAGTACCCAACGCAGTGTCAAGTTTCCACACAGTACCTACAACTGCCTAGCCATGTCACTGTGTGATCGCTTATATAATATTACTGTATTTTATATAAGATCACATAACTATTTAACACTGAATATGTACATCTTAAATGTGCAATAATAATGATGGCTATTTTATTTAACTCAGAGTAAAGGTCAGGCTCCATATATAATCCCAACCTTTGTGAAAAGTTGTCATTGCGTGACATTATAATTTGGGTATTGTGTCACTCCCACAAGAAGTCTTATGTGTGGAAGAGTTGGTTCCAGGGTAATGGCACTATTAGAGGCACTCTGGAAATTGTCTGAGGTGGGGTCATGTTCGCTGTGTATTTGGAGGCAGCATCTTGTCCTGGGTTCCAGTATCCCTCACCTTCCTCTTCTGCCAGGAAGGAAATTCTGCCTCAGCAGGGACCCAGAATCAACGGAGCACTCTGGACTGAATCCTGGACAGCAAAGGATTGTGGACTGAAACCATGGGCCAAAATAAATCCTGTCAGCTTTAGTCGTTTATGTCAGGGAATCTGTCATAACAGCAAAGAATCTTAACACATACATTTGGTGTAGATGAAATTTAAGACCAAAGAACACCTTACATTTTGTGTGAGGTCACATGACATCTCTTCTGGCTCTAAAATGTTCCTCTTTATGCTATAAGACAGTCTATATCTTGTATTTATCCGAAGATGTTTTAATTAGAGAACAACTAAACCCAGTGGACAATGTTATTTCTCCATAAACCACAAAAGCACTAATTTTCTTACACACCAGAAGACCCTCCTGGGAGGAGCACCTGTTGTACATGTCATATGTAAATGTCAGTGTAGATGTGGCATCACCCATGCTCTAAGAACCATGATGTGTTGCTTTTGTCAGGCTGGGCCACTGAAAAGACTGAGGGCCTGGTACTCCTCATCGTAGGCGATTGCTGAAAGATTTGTCCAGTTCCCTGACTGCTGGACCCCTATGGGTCATTTCAGAGAAAGTTCATTTAACATTAAAATAGGACAGTCATTGTAAAAAAGATCAGACACCAGAGGTAATCCAAATCTTGCATGTTAAGGGGACAGAATGAAGGGCAGGGTCATTAGATTTGAAAGAATATCTTCTCTTTTTTTCTTTTTGTCATTTCTATCTGGTCTCATTCCCAAAAGGATTTTGTGGTGGGAACTTGAAAGAAATATATTTGAATCTGAGTTTCACAAGATATTGATTTACATAAAAGACAGGGGGAAAGAGGAAATGAAATAGAGACCTGAAATTGTTACCAAGAATATTGACGTTTAGGTTGAGTTTTACAACTGCATATTTCTAATGTGGTTTTAATTTATAAATAATTATATATGTTACTGAGGATGTTTGCTTAAATAAAATAATTATGGTTCTGTGAGTATAGCTTCTAGAATCATGAAACAGGATTTATTAAGCTACTATTAGGACTAAGTTATTTTCCTGGTAAAAGTACTTCTTGACCTGGAAATCCTATGATGAACTTCTTCTGGCAGAATTGGACTTAGGACAACTCAGTAACTTGGAGAAATTATTTGAGTTCTCAAAGCCAGAGTGTTACAGGTTTGTAATAGGACCCTCTGAAAATACAGCACACTGTACCATGGCGTTTTAGTGACAGGTGTCTGAGATAAGGAAAAAGGAGGCTGGAGTTAATATTTCCCCTCATGTGTCAGAAAAAATAGTTCAAACATAAAATTCCTGATGAATGTGTTAAGAACAGTTCCTAAAGAATTAGCTGTGTTTGGGATCAGTGAAAGATTGCAACATCAACCCCAAATTTCTCAGTGATCAACACTCAACAAGGACACATTGATTTAAACATAGTCAATGTACTCAGGGTTCCTTTTATGAACCGTAACTCTATACATGTATAGTTGCACAGATGTTCAATCCTGCTATCTGGTAAAATATGAAGTATAAATACAGAATATTTATATAAATATTTCATATAGAACACAAATGCTATCTATAAAGTATTAAGTTTTGACAATTACAGACTCAAATGAAAAAAGAAAGACTCAAATGACTGAAAATCAATTTTTAGTTTCCTAAGAGTATCTCTGCCATTTGCTTCAGTGACCCCGTGAAGAGTAGTTCTTCCATAGTCAAGTCCTTGCAAGCCTTCCTAACCTTCACGCCTCTACTTGGAGTCCTTTCTACTGAGTACGTATGATAGTAAGCATATAATTAGGTACCACAGTGAAAGAGCTTCTGAGAATTCCACAACACAATTGCTAGCATTACATCTGAAGCAGACTTAATAGCAATTTAGTCATAATAGTGATTGTAAACAACAGGTTTGTCTGTGCAGGGACCGTGCCACATTCTCTGCTTTGTGTTTGATTCTTTCCTCTCATATGTACAACAAGCAGATCATGCTGCAAAAAGCCCACATAGTGTTCCACTAAATTACCAACTTGCTTACAAGCCTGTCAGAAATGAGCTTCAACTGTTGACTTAACCCAGGGACGTGAGATATATGGAACTTGGAAGTTAGCAACCATGAATGAAACTATATTCAGACAGTTTAGAGGAAAACATCATGGCAACAAACAGAACATGCCCGTGGCTGCAAGTTACGAGGGCAAACAGACCCATCTGAGCTGGTCTTGTTTTCCAAAGCTTATAGAGTAACATTTCCCAAAGATAAATGTACCAGCGTATATATTTTACTCAGTACTTACCAACCATAAGTAACTACAAATTATTAATGACCAACTATTCAATAATTTGTAACTATCAAATTAAAAGAATTATTTCTTTTGTCAGAAATGGGAGAGCAGGTATTAAAATGATCACCTCCATCTACAAGATTTCAATAGTGCCTAGTGCCTTATTAAATTAGTTTTTTAAAAAGTCAACCCACATTTCTGAAAGGTAGCATTACTATGAAGAAAAGGGACAAACTCAAAACCTATATCCAAAGACCACTGACAGAAAACACCTCTGCAGTTTAGTTACTGGAAGCCTGCAGAAGTGCTTCGGTGCTCTGCAGTGGTTTGGAGGCTGAGCGTGTGAGGAGCAATGCACAAGGTTCGTGGTTATGGTGTTAACCTGGGAGCCACGGGAGAAGGCTGGTTCAGATCTTCAGGTGGACTGGGTTTGCATGCAATGGTAAGTCCTGACTGTGTTGTTCATGAACGCTAACTCAAACCACTCCCTCATTTTAGAACCTAAAAGGCATGCAGCCCTGGGATGACTCACCATTCATGTTCTTAAAGATGTTCAGGATGGGGAGGATTTGTCGGTAGTAGGGCACCAACGCCTCGCCCACCATCTCAGCCGACACGATCAGGTGCTGTAGGACTTTGAGCGTGACGCAGATGACCTGTCGATTTCGGAGGTTCAAGGCATCTGGATGGTGGGAAAACAAACAAGCAGAAAGCACTAAGCGAGAGTGGTTGCACGGATGCTCTGTGGCTGCGGCCCTGGGCCATACCTTTCAGCCCCAGAACCATCAGCGGCACGCTATGCCAGTACTCATGACTGCCCAGCTTGAAGTCGTTCCTCACCAAACTTCAGCTTGTCTTCCCTCCAGAGAAGGGGCTGACGGTGTGAGTGGGAACGGAAGGTTAAGAACCACTGGTGTACCTGGGTTTCGAGGATGCAGAGGCCGTTGGCAGTAGACACATTTTTTAGGCAATCACCTCTTTCTGCTGAAAGTCCATGCTATTCTTTCTTTAAATTACTCATTTACTTTATTGTTATTATAGAAGTTACAGAGGGATTACAAATACATGAATCAGGTAATGAGCACATTTCCTTTCGTACGGTGTCTTCTGTTCCCCCCCCTCTCCCAGTCCCTCCCTCACATCTCCACCCACGAGTTGCGTAGTTCACTTCCATCAGTGTCCAGTGAGCTCCACTGCTGTACTTTTTCACCCTTTTCTCTTCAAGCTCTGTACCCTCCTCCCACAACCCTTCTGAAGACACACTTGAATACCCCCTACATAAGGTAAAGAAGACAACGTCATCAAAAAATGAAAACTTTAAAAAAAGGACAGGTCTCTCTTGTTTTGATATATTAGAATTTCTTTTAATAAGTATGTTATTCAATATGTATATTAGTATCTTTCAATATGTATATTATTCATTCAATATATGTATTGCGCCTTTGTATTTCTCTCATAATAGTATTCTCTTTTGGTCTCACTGTATGTGAGTATCTAGAATCCTGTATAATTTGTCATATCCCAGTGTGTTTTAGATCAACCTAATTTCCACCTATCAGCTAGAACATGTGCTGTGTATCTCTCTGAGCTTGGCTTACCTCATGTAACATGATTTGTTCTAGTTCCATCCATTTCCCTGCCAATGACATTATTTTATTCTTTCTAATGGCGGTGTAAAATTCCATTGTGTATAGATTCCACATTTTTGGATCCATTCATCTATTGTAGGGCATCTGGTCTGTTTCCATAACTTGGCTATTGTGAACAATACAGCAATGAACATGGGTGTGCAGATGTGTTTATCATATCCATATCATGTTCAGAGTAGATGTGTAGGAGTGGTAGGGCTGGGTCATAGGGCAGATCTATGTTTAGTTTCTTAAGTAACCTCTAGACTGCTGTCCAGAGCAGTTGTAATAGTTTACATTCGCACCAACAGTACAGTAGGCTTCCTTTTTCTCCACATTCCCGCCAGCATGTGTTGAATTCCCAATGCGGTGGCTAATCTAACTGGGGTGAGATGGAATCTCAGATTTATTTTGATTTGCATTTCCTTTATGGCCAGAGATCAATCCAAGCTCTTCTTAAAGCCATTATCAGAGAACAAAATGTAATTTTGGAAAGGCAGGCTGGGCAAGATGGCTGTGTGAAGAATCTTCAGGCTGGTTCACAATACAATGAATATTCTTGGTAGACGGTAAACAGATCATAGACTGTATCTCAATTCTTAAAAAGGTGAGAGGAAAACCAAATCTTTTAAGTATTCAGTTAGAAAGAATTAACAATAACTATGAGGGAAATACAATTTTAAAGAGCAGCTCTGAGTGCCAAGCAGCGAGCTGTTCTTCAAAGAAAGAACAAGGCACGAATTGCCAGGTAACCTGGGAGGCTCTCCTCTGCAGGCGTGCTTCAGTGGGAATGCAGGGGGTGAGGAATTAGCATCTGACTCTGGCTTGTGAACTTTCCTGGCACCCATTCCACTTCTTAGTGAAAAAGAGCGACATGCTCTTAAATCATGTGTCACTTACGGAGGAAAAATGGCAACCAGACTATCATAAGAAATCATGCTTTGGTGAACACAACTGGAAGAAACTTTTGGCATCGCAGTTTCAGCTCATATTCGTGAAAGTTCTGGTCTTTCCTCTCAGCTTCAAATTCAGTGTAGACTAAAGATATATTTCCCTCAGTGAGCTTTCCCTTTATTTTATATTTCTTGAATTTATTAATGATACAACCTAGCTGGTTCCCAAGTTGTTTAAAGCCAGTCAGTCATTTCTCATTCCCCAAGTTGCAAAATCATCTGTTTTTCTTTTCATTATGGGCATTCCTCCTCCTCCTTCTTCTCCTCCTCCTCCTCTTTCTCTTCCTCCTCCTCTTCCTCCTCTTCTGTCTCCTCCTCCTCTTGTCCCTCCTCCTCCTCCTCAGGTCCTCCATCATCCACTTTTATCTCTGGTCTAGGCCTCCATTCTCTCCTGGTCTGGCTCTCCATCTTCACCTCCATTCTCCTAGTCCCAGCTTCTCATCCTCCCCTCTTTTCCTCTAGTCTGGGCCTCTGTCCTCATGATCACTCCTCTTTGTCCTAGCCCTTGAGACTCTTAAGACCGGAGCACGTGTGTGTGGCTAGGCTAGCACGCATCTCTTCTTCCTGATATCCCCCTGCCCTCAGCCTGGCTTCCTGCTGCCAGAGCTAGGCAAGCATCTCACCACCATTCCCAGAGCTCGGAGTCTGACCTCTCCATTTCCTACAGAGTAAAGGACAACTAGCCAGACATAGAGCACACAATTAGGGTAAGCTAAAATAGAAGTAAATCCTTAGCTCAAAGTCTAAGAGTATAAATAATCACTTAGTAGTTTCACAGGTATTTCCTGTGCAATCACACGAAAGCTTAGAAAATTAAATGCATTAAAAACAGCCACAAAGAAAAACCTCTTGTGTCCATGTCTTGGAGTTCATTTGGCTTAGTGTCATCTTGTATGAACATACTTTTGTTTCTTTTGTGTGTTCTTCCCCCTGTGGTATATCCTTGTTGTCTCTGTATTTGATTTTGGTACCCTGGTACTGTGTGGTATATGTTTATTTGAATTAGGGAAGGGAAGGGAAGCAACAGAATGGTGAGACAAAGAAGCAGGGCAACAGCGATAAACACAAAACAATATTTTGGAAATGATCTGTACAAATTGGGGATGGGGAGGAATGGGGGGAGGGAAAGCACAAAAAATGAGGGAAGGGGTAACAAATTTGACAAGAAATCTACTTATTACCTTACTTATGTAACTGTAACCCCTCTGTATATCACCTTGACAATAAAAAATAAATAAATGAAAAACTAAAAAGGAAAAAAAATTAAGTGCAGTCAACTCTACCCCCTCCAGCAGTGAAGCTGGGATCTGGGTATGAAACCCCTCAGAGCAGCCACTACGACTTCTGGCCCAGTTAAGACCAGCTTCTCATTCCATTTGAAAGGAAACACACATGTAAGTAGAGGCCCTGAGGTTTTACCCAGGGAGCCCACCTAAATATAACTGCAGAACTTGGTAACTCAGACGCTCCTATTACAGCGTTTAAACATTTTGCAGGCCGTATTGTGTCTTCTGAAAAACAACTAAAGATAGAATGCTGTATGAGAGTCTAAAAGCCGCAGCAAGGAGACGGTGAAGTGTGGGGCATGGGGCACGGGTCGAGGCGAGAGGCGCAAGGCCCCCCCTGTGTGGTAGTCAGTGTGGGCTCCTTTTCCATCCCACCGCTCTCCCTTTCCAGAATCCACTGGTTACCAAACGGCCTCGCACGACTTAACTGAGCGCTTTACACATCTCAGTTTACTAATAATGCTCTTCCATCCAATATTTATGGAGAATGAATTGCTGCTCCAGGGAGGGGAATGAACAAGACAGATGAGGGACCACCTCTTGGGGTTTATAGCATAGCATGGAAGATGGTAACTAAGGAAATACCGTATGTACCCCTAAGAAGAGCAGGGCATTGAAGCCACTGTCACAGCAGTGCCTAGCCTGCTGTGGGTTGTGGGAGCCCCACGGGGGCGAAGCCGGATGGACAGATGCTGTTAGGTGGAGAGTTTCTAAGAGAAGGGACAGTATGCTAGGAGTGGGACCCCTAAGAGAAGGGAGTCATTTATTTTCCTAACAAGGGGTATGTTACAGTCTGCATTGATGAGACTCCACTGAGAGACTTGGAATCACAGCACCGATAGGAAAGAGAGACCCTAAGTAGTACTGTCATCATCAATATATCACCCGGCACTGTCCACACACAGGGATCAAAGCAGGAATGAGAGATTCTGACTTTTGCATGGTAAGAGTGTGGATAAGTAAGGTGTATTTATCAGGAGATGAAGACCATAGTACTTTTTCCTTGTCATTCTCATCTTATTGAAGTCACACAGGATCAGATTGTGGGGGTCTGGGGTTTCTGCCTAATGCTTTTTCCCTCCTCGCTTCTTAAAAAAGGACTCACGACAGCACCTAGCTAAGAGTTTTAGGAACTTTGTAATGACGGATGATGAGAGGTGGAAACAGCAGGTGGAGATGCTGACGCGGGCCTTCAGTCTAAACAAGAGTGCGGTTGGGCGTGCAGGGCTCCCATTTCCCATGCAGGGTGTGTATCGGGAAAGGTTTCTGTCAGCACAGGGCTCGGGAGAGTTCTCTGAGGAGGCTTAGTGACTTTGAACACCAGCTTATCAGGCTCTTCCTTTAGCGTGAGTATCCTAAATATGATGATAAAACAGCCTAGACTGTGCCTATCTAAATTAACACTGTAGTTCTGATATACAGAATATAGTGATTAAGAAATAACCCTGGTATTCATTTATGAACAATTATTTTTTTGTTAGGCTTAAGCCATATATATAGCTATTTAATCATGGGGGTGCGTTGGTGAGCTCTCTCAATATGGATAGATATTAAATTAATTAATATGGTCATGACACATCCTAATGAAGTATTATTGGGGTGACAATAACCCAAAATTAAATTTTCCTCTTATTGGCAGCTGAAACGGAATGCTATGAGCTCCTGAATGACCAGGTGCTAGCTGTGATATTTCCACAGTGGCTAAGAGATAAATCTGAGTGTGTGAAAACTCCTAAATGTCATCAGGAGGAGTGTGTGTGTACACGCATTTGCACATTTATGCATGCATATAGGCAAACACACACTGGGTTACTA